TAATCGGCATGATCTAAATTCAAATGGAGGTGTACTAAAGCCGAATTTCCTGGGGTACCAGAATTAACGTCACATCCAGAAGGAAGGTGAGGCTCCTGGAGCCATAGTCTGGGGTCTCAAAATCATAGATGCTCAGAGCCCCAGGAGTGGCTCCTGCATCCCTCAATATCCAGACTCCCTCCCAGTCAACATTCACACTAAGGACCCACTAAGAGCGATGCCCAGACTCTGAAAACGTAAAGATGAGTATAGCACTGAAGACGCCGGCTAGGAGGAAGGGTAGTGGAAAAAAAGAGAATTGCATACTGGGCAGAAGGAGCAAAGAGCAAACATTAAGAAGCAGGAAAATAGAAGGTTTCTCCAGGTGTTCAATGAGGTGCTCATCTGAGTGAAGACAGAAATTATAAGCTAAGGGAAAATGCCCGTGAAAGACCCCGAGCCATGATCGGGAGTTTGGAGAGAATCCAGGAGGCAATGGGGAGAGTTGTCAGCCCTCCAAGCCAGACGAGGGCATTCTTCGCTCATTCACTCATTCAACAAACGGTTCTCCTGCCTCCTCTAGAGATGGAAGGCTGAACAGAAGAGAACCCCTTCCTTCCTTCTGGACGCTGGTACTCACTTGTGAAGACAGGTGATTAGGAAAAAAACAAGAAAAGTAAAGCGGGTGTGAAGAAAAGACAGTACAAGGAGTTTGGACACGTGTGGCACAGGAAGCCAACCTCGTTAAGGGTGAGGGGCCGGCGTGCTCAGCTGGGACCCAAAGGTCGATGCGAAGATTCACTGCTTTGAGCGTGAAGGACGGGCAGCTGGGAAGGGTCACTGAGATGCTAGAGGAAGAAAGGTGGATTGGAGAAGAAATGAAGGAAGTAGGGCTTAGGAACTCGGGGGTCAAAGTACCAGCAACAACACCCGCCCTGAGCAGTATCCATAACCAACAGTCACTTGGCCTCTGACAAACAGCTCTGAGCATGGGGATCTCATCACTTCCCCAGAGGGTGGACTCTGATACCTGGCAAATCTAATTCTTACAGCAAGAGTTCCTTCCTATATGAAGACCATGCCTGCTTCCCCATAACGTTTATGCATTGATCCTGGATCCACACTCAGGAGCAAATCACAGAAAGCCCTTTCCCTCTTCTGGACATATTTCCCATTAACTGGGGAAGATCCTGGTCATTTCCAACTCATTCACATCAAATGCTAAGAACAGAAAAGTTCTAGAATGTTAGGACTCCAAGAGCCCCCACAGGTGACCTTCAGTTTTATGTCATTTCATGCAACAAGACACAAAGGCCTAGAAAGAGCGGTGATCGTACCCCCAATCACCCAGCTACTCTGGCTCAGCTGACCTGGGAGCCTGAGACCACCCCCCCCCCCCCCCGACCACAATCTCATGTGCTCTCAATGTATCTTGCTGCTGCGTGTAACCTAACTCCAAAACTTTGTGCTGAGGGCATCTGTATCTCCGGGGGAGCCACTGAAATTAAACAGGGTTGAAAAATAAACAAACTCACATAAAGTATAAATAGCATTTCCATGAAAACAGGCAGCAACTCTGTCCCTTATTTATGGCTCCCCCTGCCTTGAAACAGAAAACTCACGGGTGTCGATAAATGGATTGCAAAGTTGTTATGTTTAACTACAGAGAAAAGCATGTCTCCACGGGGTCTTTTGGAAATGCACAGATGTCTACTGGCAACTGGCAGGGGCTGCAAGGAGGTACCCTTCGTGTCCCAGTAAACACTCTGCCTTTTCTAGAGTCTCCGGATCTCTGGCTCAGGATAGGTCAGGCAGGTCATCCTGTGCCCTCACCCCTGACGCTGAGCTCCACCCCCCCACCGCCACACTGCACTTCTGTTTACACACCTCTCATGTTAGGTGTTTCATTACGTCTCAGGGCGGCTCATTCCAGCCCTGGACAGAGTGATCCTTTACTATGATGAGCTTGACAGCTGGCTCCCTGCCACATCCCTCCATAGATTTGGGGGCCATCTCTCTTTCGGGTGACAGCCCCTGGACTGCTTGCTGAAGCTGATCATATACATTTGCAGCTTCTGCTTCTCCAAGGTAAATAGCCCCAATTCCTTCCACTATTTCGTAGGTAACAAGGTTTGAATTGGGACTGTCATTCACCATGATTCTCCTAAATGTGCTGACTTGTCTCGACTGTTCTTAAAGTGTGGCATCCAGACATAAATGCTGTGGTCCAGCTATGGACTAAAGGATACCCTATAAAAGACACCCATCACCTTTGTCATTCCAGTGAGAATATCTGTTAATGTACTCACATCAGCCCCTGTTTAATGCCATTTGTGATTTGATTCCAAGGGGAGGATTTATGATTAAGCATCATGTTGATAAATAAGGCACCTACACCCAGTCGGTGCAGGTCACCTCAGAATATTATTCCCTCAATCCTCCCCATTTCCCGTCGTCTATCTGCCAGTCTAATGAAATCATTCAAAGTCTAGGATCAAGGTCACTCCATCCACCAGGGCTGGTCCAGATAGCGTGATGGTGGAAAGCAGACTTCCAGCTGGTATCAACCTATCACTAAGCACAGACAATTATGAATTCTCCATACTGCAGATCAACTCCCAGTCTCCTTTTTTTGGAAACTCCACCACTTACCTTTGGGGGGCCACCCCTCCCCCATTCTGACTCCACATGTTTTAAGGAACTCCTCTCTACCCTATGACCAAAAATAGGCACAGGGCACAGGGCTGGCCTCACAGCCTCCTCCAACTGCAGTGATTAGTCTCTGGACTACATGTGAGCAGGGCCAATTCAATCCAAAGCAGTATTGCAGAATTAGGGGGAGAAAGAACTCTTTCTACAGGCACTGGTGATGGTAAGTAGTAAGCTAAAGCTTCCTCTGTGTAGATAAAACTGCCCTGAAAGAAGAAACCACGGCAGAGAAAAGTAGAGCAAAGGGAAGGAGGGAGATTGAGCTACAAAAATATCATTTGAGCCCCTGGATCCAGCCTTTCCTGATGCCTGTACTACCTTCGAACTTACTGGTTTTGTTAGCCCCCAAATTCCCTTGTTGCCAAAATCATTTGGGGCTGGGTTTCCATAAATGAGTGCAGATCAAAATTCTGCTCACAGCCATCCAGAAAGGTCATGTGACACCATGTCAAAGCTCTCGCCAAAGCCTGCTACCTCACTGAAGTCCCAATCTACAACATCGTATTGTAGTTAGAAAGTCCAGCTCTTGAGTCCAATAACCCAGGTCCATCCTGAACGGCTCTGGGCCTTGGACAGATCACTGCAGGACTTCTGCCTCACCGTCCTCATCTGGACCTACTACAAGGGATTACCACTGAGAAAGAGTCAATGCATGCAAAGGCCTTACAACCACACCTGGCCCGCAGAAATGCCTAAAACACAATCATCCTCGTTGTTGTTGTTATTATTCTCACACTATTAGTATCATTACCTGTCCAGTTATACTGGCAAAGTCAATGTTTTCCTGTACTAGCCCTGGATCGGCACTGGGTGCTCTCAACCTTCTTTTACAAGGCTCTTCCATCGTCCCTGGCACAATGCTTCCTTCAGTCTCTCCTAGGATCAATAGCAAATCACCTTCCTCCCTCTGATCTCTTTGCCAAAACGTACTCATCCACTGCCATGTCATAATTTACTCCATTTAGCTGCTCAGATGGAAGCTCCTCTACTCCAGGGATGTATGGGACAGGGAAGTGACGGGGTGTGGTCCTGGGCCCTTCCCTGCTATGCAGACATATGGTGCTACCTCGATCATATGCAGCTGAGCAAACCTCAGAAAGTGAGGTGGACCTCCTAATTAAAAGGCAGCCCTGCGCTGTCAATAAAATTATGCATAAAGGAAATGTTTAAAAACACCATAGTGACACTCTCTCTTTCTAAAACTGAAAATGTTTGAAAAAAAGGGGGACGGGGGTTGAGTGTCAACTCTTGCTCTTGATTTCGGCTCAGGTCACGGTCTCGGGGTCGTGGGGTCGAGCCCCACGTCGGGGTCCACGCTCAGCATGGAGCCTGCTTGTCCCTCTCCCTCCCCTTTGGCCCCTCCCCTCTCTCTCTCTCTCAAGATGAATCAATAAAATCTTCGAAGAGAATTAAAACACAGGAGTGACTCCCTTGAGACAGATTTTCACTTGAGATGTTTTTGACTTCAACTGTGGGAGCAAATAAAAAGAGAGCGTCCTCCTCGACGCGGCCATTCCTTCTTCCCTGCCTGAAGCTCAGAAAACCATCTCTGATCCGCAAAACACTGCCCTGCCTTTGAAACTGCTGGCTGGAAGAACGGCGAGTCTCGTCTTCTCTACCGATTTCTGCAAAGTGACAGGGACCAGCATTTGTTTTTATTTGTTTGGGGAGGGCAGCTCTTCTGTTGCATCCGTCTCTTGGGCCAGTCAGTGTGACTGATCATCTTTCACACCGGGCCCGGCCTGACAGCTCCAACCACCGTCTCCCGCGGCGCCCTGGGCTCGCCTCGCCATCACACGCGTGCTGCTTCCGCGGCACGGTGCACGTCCACGTCTGCTGCCGCCGCCTTCCCAGCACCGGGCTCGGCAGAGGCGCTTGACAAGAGCGGTAGCAACGGTAACAACAAGATGTTCAATGTGTGAGCAAACGAACAGACCAAAGAATGAAAGAAACATGTGGCTCCATGAACAGCGAAGGAATCCCTCCGGGGCCCAAACCTTGCGCCCCTTATCGACACCGGGATCGACGTGCAAAGCGGGGATTTGACATGTGCGACCCCTCCACTGTATGCAGGCGCACCTCATTTTGCTTCTGTTTGCATTTTGTCCTCCTCGCTACGGACTCCCTCCCACTACCTGTGTAAACCTGGCATGTCTCGGCCCGGGCCCACGCGCGCGTGCTGCAATATCCTCCCGTTCCACACAGTGACAAGTTGGGATCAGAAGACCCAGAGGGGCTTCCGAGGACTCCGGGACAGCCAGTGTCCTTTTGCTTCCCTCCTCCCTCTCCCTGTGCGGAAGCCGCCTTCTTACCTTCAAAGCTCCCGGCGAACAGGTAAAGCCAGGTGATGGCTGGGATGCAGAGAACGGTCAGCGAGGCAGCCAGGAATTTCCGTCTCCCTCTGCAGATTCCCAGCATCCTCTCAGAAGTGGCAACCCCTAATCCCAGCGCCGCTTCTCTGCCCAGAGCACGGGGTCCTCGGCCTCCCTCATAATACTTTCTGAAAGGAAGAGCAAAGAGGAAGGGCTGAGTTCCCAGAGCTGTAAAAGGATGCAATTTGCGGGGGGGGGGGGGGGGTATCCCGGAGATCCTGAAAGTATCTGGCTCCTCGACGACTTCCTGCTGACCTTCTAGCCCAAGACACAATGCTGCAGTCTTACATCTATCAAAACTGAGACAGCTCTTTTAAAAGTAAATAAAGGATGATGAAAACTATGACATCGCTCCCTCCCTCCTTCCCTCTCTCTCTTTCTCGCACGTGCACACACACACACGTGCGTGCGCAAGTATTTTATAGTACAGATTAGTTTGAAGCCCGAACACACTTACTAAAAATGCATTTAGTTAGCACCTTGTATGTACCAAGCACTAACTAGGTGCCCTGTTTTAAAAAATGCCAGGAACACGGGTTAGTTTCCAAGAACACAGTCTAACAAGAGAGACCAACTTAAAACATCCACGGGCACTCCAAAACTGTGATGACTGAGAAGTGCACACATGGACCTCTCTGGAAAGACCAAGGAAGTTGCTGACTGATCCCTGGGCGGTCAAAATGGCAGAACAGTTCCTGAGTTCGAGCCAGAGAGAGCCGTGGAAGGCGCCGGGGGCTGCCTCCTGGCACACTCGGAGGAGAGGAGGCTGGGTCAGCCAATGTCATCTGCAGGGAACCACATCCCGATCACAGCTGATAACCTACAAACACTCACCAGGGACTGTCTTAATAGCTTCCACCTTTAATATGGAAGATGTCCAGAAAAGCATGGAAACGATTAAAACGTGCAGAAGATGGAGAGGAACACAGATAACCTGTCACCAGCCTGCAGAGAGTCAATCCTGAGGCCAGGCGGAAGACTTGCTGAGACGTGTTCAAAGCAGAGGGAGAAGGTCAATGCACATGGAGTAGAGGCCCAGGATCCTTCACCTGGGGATCTGACCGGCAGGTCATGTGCCTTATAAAGGAATTTAAAAACCAACAGCCCTGCAATCTCATCTCCACCTATCTCCTCACATCGAGCTCACACTGACTGCAGGTGGAGCGAGGAGCCTCCCAAACGGAGAAGAACCTACCCCTGCAGGCAGCTATACAAGGCTTGTCATCCCCAAAGAAATTGCTGGTTTGGGTGTCCCTTTGGGTATTCCCATAATATGTCCTTCCCTCTGCCATAACCCTTAAACCCCATGGGACTATGGCCTGGTTGAACTGTCTGTCCTCCCCACCAGCCTTGGGGTTTCCAGGAGACAGACATCCTGTCCGCTCACCTTGCATTCCCTAAGACTGGGCATACCGTCTGTCACCTGTAGGCTGGCTGATAGCTGTCGGCTGAACAAATAAATGGGATCAGATTCTAACCAAAGGCAGCCCTCCCAAGCTTCAGGAGTCTGTGTTCAGCAAGTTGCTGGCAATAAACACCTAATGGAGGCAATCTCAATTGTCAACGCCAGGTTTGCTTCTGCACCCAACTCTGACATGATTTTCTAAATGGTCCTCCTTTGAAACAGATGAATGATCCCAGGGCTGGAGGGTGTGGGCTAGCAAGGAAAACCAAACAAGCAAAATCACTTTAAACAAGGAATGTTGATTGGAGGAAAGTCCCCCGCGGGAAGTGTTTCATTCTGAAGCATGGGCAACAGACCCTCCACACACACTATGTCACCAAGAATGAGGATCGCCCCGCCACTGGCCAAATCTCGCAGGAAGAACAGGGGACAGGAGGCTATGCAGTTAGATCTGGATTCAAATCCAGTTCCGCACGTGACTAGCTGTGACATTGGCAAGCCCCCTGTCGCTGGGTAAGCTTCATTTTGTTCATCTCAAGCAATGGCCTCTCTGTCAGACAGTCTTAAATGAGAGAGTCCTTGAGTAAGTGCTGAGCAAAGGAACATGTGACAGGGCGAGCCCCACCTCTTCCCGAGAGCTGAAGGAGGAGCAGCACTCAGGCTTTTCCAGAAAACAGATCCCAACAAGTATGTTCGGCTGACACCACCAAATGGGTGATCTCAACCCGAACATCCTACTCGAATCTCCTTTAGGAGATACCACCACATTAAAATGGCCCTTTGTGGGTTGTTCGTTTGTTTGTTTTCAGTTCATTTATAATAATAGTAGCAAAGACAACTAGCAGTAATAACCTGTGAGGTTGGAACCAGTTTCCATCCCCATTTAATGGATGAGAAACTGAGGCCTAAAAAGACCAACTGGCCAAAGGTTATACCAGCAACACCTCAGGCTCTCCTCTCCCTAAGGAACTGATTCTAACAACCTTTGCCAGGGGTCATTTTCCCTCTGATCTAACCTAAATCCTTCATATTGAATCTTAGGATTTTTCTTCCCAGAGTTCAATATATCACCACTGTTTGCTCTCATTCAAAAAAAAAAAAAAAGTTCAATAGAACAAAAACTGGAAAGCTCTTGGTGAATTTGGACTTCAGGGGAAAGTAGGACTATATATGGAGCTGAACTCAAGTGGTGTTAATATTTAAAGGCATTTTTAAAAAACTCTTTAAGACACTTATTTTCCTCTTTTCCTCGCTCCATCTGCAAAAGTTAATTTCAACTGGCACAATTTGTCCAAAGTTTTAAAACAGAGTCTAGAGTGGTTTGCATTTTATGATAACACTGGCATCTAAAATTAAACCCAGCAGGTAAAAAATATTCCTTCATGGATTTGACTTTTAAATGACACCTCTGTGCACTAAAAACACATTTTAAAGAAAAATCTCAATTTACATCAGAAGTTACTCTAGGAAGTCAATACAGGAATCAACACAAGAAGGAAGGAAGGAAAAAACCGAAGGCGGGCTGAAAATTACCTCCCACATGTGTAAACATTGATGGATTAACTGGAAAGTTAGTCTGGAACCTGCTTTTGCCTGGTCAGAGGGAGACAGACTCCTGGGGCAAAGAGTTACCTTTAAAATGCCCCTGCCTCGAACCCAACACCCAATTCTCCTTGGCCAAGATGGTCAATTCTCCCACTAAACATCTACTACTCCATCTGTCTTCTCCCATCTGTCTTAACCAATGAAATTCACATTTATGCAAAACATTGCATGAGCCAGAAAAAGTATCGTGATCTATTAAAGCCACAAAAGCAGCATTCAGAGCTGAGAGTAAATAAAATGTGATTACAAGTATCCTTCAGTCCAATGTAACACATTGTATACACATGTACAAATACCTATAAAACTATACATATGAAAAAAGGTATAAAGGTTATAGGTTATCTCTGGGTATAGGGTATGGATAATTTAAATATATATGAATATGTATTTTTCCCAAATTTTATACAAAAAATAGTGTGGCTTTTATAATTTAAAACTTGAATCACCATGTCTTCTTGTTATATTGCACATGATTCAAAATACCTCAGCGCGAACAGTGAAGAATACATGAGTTAGTTTTACTTTACATGCAAGGTGCAGTGAGTTAAGATCTGTAGGATCCTTGGGGAGCCTGGGTGGCTCAGTTGTTAAGCGTCTGCCTTCGGCTCAGGTCATGGTCCCAGGGTCCTGGGATCGAGCCTGGCATCGGGCTCCCTGCTCAGTGGGAAGCCTGCTTCTCCCTCTCCCTCTCCCCCTGCTTGTGTTCCCTCTGACTGTGTCTTTCTCTGTCAAATAAATAAATAAAATCTTTAAAAAAAAAAAAATCTGTAGGATCCTCATTGGGAATACACCCTCCAGGGGTGGCTGGCTACCATTTGAAAGTCTCTAGTCAGAAGCTCATATTCCAAATGCTGATCTGATCAAACTGGAGATTGCCTTTTTTTTTTTTTTTTTTAAGTAGGCTCCACAGCCAACATGGGGCTTGAACTCATAACCCCGAGATCAAGAGTTGTAAGCTCTACCAACTGAGCCAGCCAGGTGCCCCTGGAGGTTGTCTTTTAATTAGCATCATTAGAAATGAGTTTTCATGGGTGTTCAAGATGTATGAGTTATCTAGAAATACTGCACATGAAGAGGGAATAAAAGTCTAAATAATCTCCAAAAGAAACAAATAAACAAAACGTCTAAGGAACCCAATGGCCAAAATCCTTCAGATGCACTTAGGAGCCAAACTGATCCTATGGGCAGGCAACAGAGTTGGGTCACCGACTGTAACTTTAAGATCGGGTGAATCCTGTCAGTTCCATGTTGTCATCTGAGTCTCAAGTGAACCTTTCTTAGGGGTCCTACAGCAGACGGACCCTCCATAGATGTCAGCTTTGTTTTATCATTATTTGTACTACTGCACCCCTTGCCTATACCCAAGCCTTTCCCACACAGCCCTACTATCCAGCCATGCCTTTCCTCCTCTCCTGCACCTCCAGAGGAATTTCAAGTCCTTGCTGCCTCTGCAGAACATCTCCCGACAAGTCCAGACCTGGAGGTGCTTCCTCCCTTTGTTCTAAATTCCAAAGGCTGTCAGCCGCACATTCCTGATCATATCACTGTCTTCTAATCATTTCCCAGCATTAATTTCTCTTGACTACACCAAAACTCCTTAAGGGCCAAGGATCCAGGTCCTCTCGTGTTTGTCTTCAGCCTCTGCCTGAGACCAGCAGCTAAGACCACAGTTTATACTTAGCCATCTCCATCCAAAGTGTGGTCCCTGAAACACCATCAGCAACAGCTCATATCTTGCCAGAAATGCAGGCTGTCAGGTACCCCCCCCCCCCCCCCCGGATCGAAATCTGCACTTTAACAAGCGCACACCACTGTTTCAGAGCCCTGTACTACTAAAGCTTGGAGTAACGAACCGGTTGTTGTCTCCCACCACTCCTACTGACCCCCTCCCTCACCTCACCCCTGCAGGGACTGGCCAGGGCACTAGGGAGAACCAGCACATCCTGGACTTTGTTGGTTATCTATTTATTACAACAGTTCTCTGATAGATGGAAGGAGAGTTCCTATAAGGAAAAGTGCCTCTTTCTAATTAAACAGAAGCACCTTATGGACTCGCAGTGGCTCTAATGGCCCATCCTGACCTCCCATCAAAAACACTGCTTAACCATTTGAATGATT